ATGAACCTTGACCTACATCTCATAATCACTGTAACATGTGAAACCAGCAGATGGGAAAAATGTGCAGCATCATGTGCAGCATTTTGACGCTTAAGGAGAGGAGATCCCAAAGTTTGTTGGAGAAGAATGATGAGTATGTCGCATCATGGTGACCTGCAGGTCCTCAGGTCTCTCAGTAATCCTCCTGCCCAGCCTGAGAAGACCTACTCTTGCTATCACTCTACATCTCCACTCAATGGCTTCCACGCATCCTTCATCTCCCTCTGTTCCCACACAAATACCCTCCACTTCCCCCTGGAATTTCATTCCGGTTTCTATGGCAACTCCAGAAAAGGGCACATCTTGTTTAGAGCTGTATCTGGTGAGAATGTGAATCAGCCCCGCCTCTTTGTCATGTTCCATGGTCCCCGACTCGTATTCTATAAGGCATATTTTTGGATATACTACCTGACACGGTTTCCCTTCTAAAAGTATTTGGGGGGGGGGGGTTTGAAATGCGTGACATTGTAAAGCAGCACAAGCTTTCACACAGAGTGTTTTTTCAACCTAAGCAGCAGTAGACGTCTTGTGGGTGAGATACATGTGCCTTGGGAGCCCGTGAGTCTGCTCAGGTCTTACGCTTCTTTATTTGTGTTCATCTATTTTCACGTTCATCAGTGAAGCTCCTGTGTTTAATTAGAATCACTTTTCGAGGCTCCAGAATGAGCTGTGAGCCCCAAACCAAAGGCCACATTTCTTATTTGCAAGGAGATGCTGGAAGCTACTAGCCCTCCTTGCTCTGTTGGGTTGCCTCCAGTCCAGCTTTGCTCCTCCATTTGCTTCCCTTCATTCTGTATATTGGATTCTAGTGCTTTCTTTGCCCTTCCTGTGGCAGCAGAGTGTGTGGGTTGGGTTTCTGATTCTGGCGGTGAGTGGCGGTCTCTCTCAGCACTAACGAGCAGTCATATGTATGATCAGTGCTACAGGGGGCTCTCAGTATGGCAACCCTTCTTCCTAAACTGTAGGAAAGTCCGTATGACATGGGGCATTAGGAAACTTCTGAAAGCTGGTATTTATCCAACTGTTTTGAAAATCTCCCTCATTCTCAGCCGTTTTTGTTCTGTTGAGATCTGTCGAGAAATTCTTTCAAATCCCGACTGATAACATGTGGCTTAATTTCAGTGCGCTCAATCACCACTCACGGTTTCCCTCCAAAATGACACGTAGCTGGGACCACTGAGCCACCTGCTGCTGTAATTAGCAAACCGCTTCATCACATTAAAATATTCGGCGTCGAGGCCCGTTGCACAGTGGCCGGTTATTAATTTCCAGAGGATAAAGGAAGGTTTAGCTACCTTAGGCAACTAGAGAATGGAGACGTCAATCCACGATAACCGCCGCAGCGGCTGAACCTTGGAAATCCTCTTTCTGGCTAATCTGTAAACGGGGAGAGATCCTTCCATCGCCGCTTTCACACGGCCGTGGGAGCGGCGGGATTAATGTCCCTTTGAGGGGCCACACTCTTCTGGAAATTTCTTAAACAGGATCAGGAGCCAAAGCAAGGGCACTGGTACCGTCTACGTCACTTTGAGCCGACAGCAGGCGTGGGGGGGGGGGGGCGTATGCCATCGCGGGCACCTAGATACCCCACTGCATGTCACCATTGTCATTCTCCCTCTTTCTCCTCAAACAATCGTGAAATGGAATCTTTTGCGCATTCCAGGCTTCAGAGTGGGGAAGCAAAAGCAATCTACTGCCCGTCCGCAATGAGCAGAGCCGCCCTGCTGAGGCCCAGAGCCGCCCCTTCAGCATTAATCTCTGAATCCCCCCCCTCATATCGCCCTCTCAACTGCCAGTGTGATGCCAAATGCTTCATTTAAAGAGTGACAAAGTGTGCTGTCATTTATTACCTCTCAGCTGCCTCTCTCTCTGATCTCACCCCCAACCCCAGCCAGAATGGTGGGCTGGGCCCCAGCCCGTCTGCTGTATGGCACCCAAACCCGCGCTGTCATGCTACGTGTGACGTGCTTTGGTTACAGACGATGTGAAGATATGGGGTCTGTCTGTGTGAGTTTGGATTAGGTTTATATTACATTGTGGGGACTAGATGTCCCCCACAATGAGATAAAAACATGTTATTTTGATATTGTGGGGACCATTTTTCAGGTCCCCACAAAGATCTGTGAATGCAATCAAAAGCTCTCCTTCATTGGGGGATTGGGGTACACTAATGAAGAGGCACATTAAGATGCTTGAGAGCGCAGTGCTGCAGCAAGTCGGGGTCCTCGTGGCTTCCTGAAGCTCTGTAGATGTGGACCTTCTCTGATGCCCGTATGAAGCACCCCCCTCCCTCCTGCCAATTTCTGCATGGCGGGGGGGATCTCACAGACATGACGCACTCGCCATCAGTACTCCCTGTGTGTTTTTGATGGGTTTTCGGTTTAATGATTCACCATCTCTAAAAGTCCTGCGAAGGCCACGTTTGCCATCAAATGAGCCTTGAAATCCAAAATGAAGTCCAAATGGAGCAGGGCAACTTTTAGCACATTCTTCAGTCCTGAAAAATCCTAACCATAAACTGTGATGACTGAAGCTGTGAGGGGCGGGGGGAGAGAAGGGGGGAAGAGAGGAGACAAATGTCTTCCAGATTGTCCTTTGTTCCATAAGCCATAATCACGGATCTGCACTTCAAATACCATTAAGTATGTTTAGAGTCCAAACTAAACCTCCACGTAAAGAAAAGGTCGCCACGTCTGGCCCGGACCGTCCAGGTCCAGGAGCGCGTGGCACCTCCTTACAGATGAGGTCCAATCCGGCATTAGCAGAGAGGAGCGGGGAGGAGGATAAAATAAGCTGTGGATCTGAGAATTCTGAGCTGCATTCTCTGAGCTGTGAGTGTGCGGGGATGTGGAGACGCAGAGCGCGGGGATGTGGAGACGCAGAGCGCGGGGATGTGGAGACGCATGTGGAGATGCAGAGTGCGGGGATGTGGAGACGCAGGGCGCGGGGATGTGGAGACGCAGGGCGCGGGGATGTGGAGACGCACAGTGCGGGGAGGCAGGGCACACTAACGCGGGCCGACGGAGATGCAGAGTGCGGGGATGTGGAGACGCAGAGCGCGGGGATGTGGAGACGCAGCGTGCGGGGAGGCAGGGCACACTAACGCGGGCCGACGGCACAGGCAAGCGGTAAGACGCAGACTCTGGCACAGGATTAAAGCACTTTCATCAGAATGCGCAGTGGCATCCCTTTATTTCTTCATTTTACTATTATTTTACAATTTACAAACTAGATATAAAAGACCATAAATAAATGACATAAGTTATATGTACCTAAATCTGTCAAAAGAAAAACAAAATAAAACAAAACATAAAAGATACAAATTATTCTATGACTAGAACAGATGCAATCAGATGCATAAAATGACAAAATAAATCATGTTTTGTTAGTTTTTTCCTGTCATAAACTAAATTAAAATGCATTGTACAGTACATTCTATGTTACTCTCCTCCATCAGACCTTGCATATTCCAAACAAATCCTTGAAGGATTAAGAAAAAAAATCACTAAATTGTTATTTGAGGACAGCAGAGATGTTTGAAATATGTGACTTTCAGACATATTACAAAAAAAAAAAAATCCAATAAACACAATTTACGTCCTTGAAAACAGGCCTCACTGACAGACATTTGGTGCAAATTAGAAATGAACAATGCAAAAAGAAAAAAAAAAAAACAAATATAGTATACACTTTTCCCTTTTCAAAGCAGCCCTGCAGCACAGTGATTACTCAGTTTGTCACTGCACCCGCACGAATGGTCCAGGCCGCTCTGGGATGAATGATTCAGCCCGACTGCTGTCCACCAGGAAGTTCCACAACAGCCCATCTGCTGGTCAATCAGAGATCAGCTCATATTCAGCGAGTGCCTAGGGCTTAGTCTGTGATTGGTGCAAGGTGTTTGAAGGGGCGGGGCTTCCCCGATGGGCAATGGTCATTAGAAGGCTGGCAAGTCCGGTCTCTTTACATGTTTCTTTTTATGTAATAAATTCCTTCTGGTCTCCTCATGCTGCCCAAGAATTTGTGTGAACCTTGTTTCATTTGCGACAGACGAACAGCAACCCAGTCTCATGTTAGAGTTTCTTATTTTCCTGTCGTCGTGCTCCATGACCACAGCAAGACTGGATGAACTGGTAGCACTGAGGGGACATTCAGTCACACACTGGTGACATGCGAACAGACCCATTAAAACAAATGAGGTCAGCAGACGAGTAACGACACTTGTGACATCACATTCCGCTAGTATCACTGAAGTTCAGGTCTTTGTTTGCATGGGGGGTGGGGGGGGGGGTTCCCTCATCCTGGACGAAGTGGGAGATGTGGCCCCGAAGTGGGAGATGTGGCCCTTTTGCTCCACTGTAGGGTGGCGCCATTTTCACCACCACTTCTGATGACGGGCTGTGACAGCTGGATTGGACGGGGGGGGTGGGGGGAGGAAAGCGTACAATGGTCAGATGATGATGTGCAAGCCTGGGGGGACCGTCTGACTAACCCAGCAGCTGAGGGGGCACATTTCCCCCCCCCCACCCCCCACCCAGCGGCATGTCACCGGGCCAGAGCCGCACTGAGGATCGGCTTTCTGTCTGACTGAAATACTCCAGCGAGAGGTCGGGGAAACGGGACGAGGTTCCGGGCTGAAAACGAGACACGAGATGGGCGGTGCTGCTTACCTTAAGCCGACGTCCACAGAGCATCCCATAATAAGGCAGGTTTCCATCATATGTATCTTGTTTTTTGGTGGCTGCTGCCAGATGCTGTCGTCTTTTTGGAGTGGGATTGAAACAAACACACATGTGGGCCCAGGGGGAGCTGCGGGTCTGTGTCCGGGACGAAAATCGCTGGTGCTCAGCTGGTCCAGAAGCACATCCAGTCAAACGGAAGCAAGAGGAAAAAACAAAAGTCGACCCATTTGGAAGGTGGGTCTATATGAAGGCCAGGACAGGGATGGAGGGGCGGGGGGGGGCAGGATGGTACGGGGGCGGGGGGCGCACGCTCCTTCCGATCAAAGAATTTCTGAAAATGTCCTGAGGAAAATATACTTCATTCCAACAAATAGAGCTTAATGATCAAAAAAGCCCCCCCACCCCCCCCCGAAAGTGGGGGGCTCATTAGGCCTGACGTCTCAGACCGGCGTGCGTGAGAAACGCACCAAGTCACATGGCAGCAAATCATAAAGAAGCGGGTCACAAACCAACACAAAGACAAAAACAATCGGCCACTTGGCAGGAAGGAGCCTCTGAAACCAAAAAGAAACGCAGGTCCAGGTGCAGGTCAGGGTCCTCGGAAGGCTTCTACTGGAAGGCCAGCTCCATGCCGCAGATGGAAAGTTCCGGGTGCCGAGGGGCGGATGGATCCTTTACAAAGTGCCTGCTCTTCTCTCCCTCCCTCCTGATCCATTTAAATTCAGTTTAAAGTGCATGATGAGGTAAACATTTTTTTCGGTTTTGTTTTTCTTTCCTTATAAAAGCAGTGATGCGTGCCCCGGCCTCAGACGGGCACCATCCTGCCCTGGATCTGCTGCACCTGGGCCTGCATCGCCTGCACGCTGCTCAGGATCTTCCTCTGGTGGGGTGCCGTCGAGACGCCGATGCGCAGCAGGTCGCTGGGCAGAGACGCAGACGCGCAGCAGTCAGCATTCACAGCGTGATCTTAGCATGTACGCTACCAGTCAAAAGTTTTGCACACACTGAGATTTTCTATATTTGCCTGCTACTCTCTTAAAATTTACTAAAAATACACTGAGTTCTTTGCAAAAAAATACATTTACAGTATGTTCACCATATTATTTATTATCAAGAAAGTCTTTGATTTAATCTTTAACTACCTCTAGTAGGTATAAAAGAAAATTCAAGGCATTCTTTCTACAAGGGACATTAAATACTGCTCTCTTTCATGGGATGAAACAAGTAATTAGTGCATTTAAAGTCAAAGGACAGCCTAGAATTTGACTCTGCCATCACCATACAACCAGTTAATAGGATGTCAGACATACACTGTTACGTACTATTTCCATGTTATAAAGGAAACTTGTTTTACTTGACTTGCATTTTCATTTATAGTTTCACTCAACTTTCCAATGCTAAACAAGAATAAAAAAACTGCAGTTTATGAAATAAAGGGAAAAGCAGTAAAACTTACAGTGTGTAAGAACTTTTGACTGGTAGCGTAGGCCAATAGTTTCACTGCTTCACTAACTCACTCATTCATCTTAATACTAATATTCTTAGTACAGTGGTACCTCAGTTCTCGAACTCATTAGAACTCGAATTTCTTAAAAGTCGAACCAACCAGTTTGGAAAAAAATTACCTAGAACTCGGTCTGAATCTCAGAAGTCAAACCGTGAAAGCCGACCTAAGATAACTTGTACTCGCGGGGAAATGAGTCACGCTTCATGTCTCTCAGCGGAAACAAAGGGTAACACTTCAGTCTCAGCCTCGCATTCGCTGTGATAGCATCGTGCATGTTTACACTAGCTGAATACATATAGTTAGGCAGTAAAAATACATTTAGACAATGATACAGTACCAGTAATTATTATATAATAAAATACATTTAAAAATAAAGATTTCTTACTATTTTAATATTAATAATAAGCCATTAATACATTTAATTATAATAATACTGTCGTGCCAAGCAGGGACGGAACAGAGACAAAGGCACAGACATCAGGGTATCGGGGAATACGGGGTTTAATTACAGGTAAGGCAGGCAAAACGCAGACGGACAATACAATGACCGGACTGGGGAAACAAACTGAAACGCGGACGAAATAAGAGGACTAATGACAACAACCAGAAACAGCTGATCACACGGGGATTCCACACGGGGTTTCCACACGGGGTTTCCACACGGGGTTTCCACACGGGGTTTCCACACGGGGTTTCCACACGGGGTTTCCACACGGGGTTAACGAGGGGGCGTGGCACACGGAAAGAGCGGACGATCGGGGCATGACACGTTTTTTTTTTTTACTTTACACATAGTTTGGATACATTTATTTTCTTACTTTAAAAATTACTGTTTTGATAAATGTGCTTAGATTAGTTTAGTGCAGTATATGCTCTTCTTGTTTTATCCGGTTCATTTTGTGTTTAAATGCTAAAAAAAACATTTAGGTGTAATTTTTTGGGGCCGGGAAACAATTAATTGGTTTTCCATTATTTCTTATGGGGAAAATTCGATCAGAACCCGAACTTTTTAGGATTCGATCCGGAGTTCTGAACGGATTAAGTTCGAGTTCTAAGGTACCACTGTATATAACTTCATATATATAGAAAATTACTTCATACTTCCTTTCTTACTCTTTAGTTTTGATAATAAACAGCAAAGGGGCCTCTTACCATGTGGCCCCCAACCCCACCCCTGCCCCACCCCCACTCCCCCAGTGACTCACTCCTCAGTCATGTGCAGCACGGCCTCCAGGCTGGTGACCCCGCCGGCACTGAAGTTGTCCTTGTACCTTTCCATCCTGATGGCCTGCAGCCAGTCGGCCACCGAGCCCAGTGAGGAGAAGTCCGGGATGGTGGGGTCCAGAAGGGCTGTGTTAGGCCTGGGGGGTGGGATAATGAGTAAATAAGTGCTTGGGATGAGAGTGTAGGCAGTTATTTGCAGGCACTTACTAGATTATCCCCTGAAGGACCTCTCAAAGCATCAGAGGGGGCGGGGGGGG